GGCATGGATCTTTGATTATCCGATGGAAAGGAGGAACCTCCGGGACAAAGGGACATTACCGAGCGACTGCTTGGAATACCCGCTCAATACCAAGGATCAATGACAGTATTGAATTATCCTGGATGAAAGGGACATGGGATATCTGCAGACGAGTGCAGGAATTCCCACTGCCATAAAGAATACTGGAAAACAGAAAATCTTATGGGCAGTTATGCTAAGGAGGACTTGAAATTCTTGGAAGCCACAGAAGCGTGCTGATGTGCGGTCAGGTGACCGAACTTAAGGGAGAGGGCTCTGTGACAATACGCTCGGTGACTTCAGAAGGTCTTTCCTTAACCTACTTTTATTTCTTTGTATTTTGAAAGTATACAGGAAAATAGGATTTGGATACATTCTTTATTTGTAAGTAGGCGAAATGAACAAGCATTTAATTCTCCTGGGATGTTGGCGATATCACACACTAAAACTTTTTCCCAGACGTTAAATGTTAAGGTACAGAGATAAGACTGACCAAGCAGACTTACTGACTGGAGATTTGCACACCATCTGTTGGTGTCAGAAATTTTATCTCCTAGCCAGAACTTTTAGGAGCAGCTAACTCCGGCTAATTGTGTTTAATTCCCCCTGAGGTTACCTAAACTGGAGTGCCGGTCCGACGGTCACTATTGACACAGTGAGCGGAAAGTGTTGGCAGAAGAATTGACAAAGTCGGATTTTATTGTGATGACGCGGTGAAGTAGGCCAGAGGTGTGACTTGTCCTATTTGCTCTGTCAGATGAATTGACCAGGAGATTCTAGCGTGGGAATTCAAACAATTGTTGTACAGTCACTGACTGACAGTGAATATACACCCACAAGGGAGGAGCTGTGATATCCCTTAATGAGAATGATTTTAGGCGTAATGTAGGAGGAGCTTGATAAAAGTTATAAAGGGGTGAACTATAGGTCTGGTAAATGAGATCCTGTCGAGCACATGCCATCTGTTGGGCTTAACCTAAGCTTGAGACAGAACTTTTGGCATCGTGGTTTCATTTTTCCAGTTCCCACATTGGGCAGGGACTAGTAGGCATCCATTATTTGCCGACCGTCGAGTGTAACGACCTGCAGAAAGCAGTGAGGACGACAAACTGGAAAAGATAGGCAGGGTCTCAAGCCGAGAACTGTCCTGATGAGCTAAGTTATGTACAACTTTAATGTCATCTATAACATCATCCCAACTCTACTAGCCTAAACAAGTTCATTTTATTTTAGTCAGATTTATTAAATAAATCTTTTTGATGTTTAAACATAGTTGAGTAAATTGTGTACTTAGGTTCAAGTGTCTTTGTGCATATTAGTTTACTTCAGCTAACAAATATTTAAATCACTTGATGGGGGCTTTTAAGTAATGCCAGGAGAGGAGACCAGTCGCAGGGGTTAACTGAGCACCTGGATTATATCACAGTGGGTGTATCCAGATATCTATCTATCCCTTCTCCTTCTCCTGTGGATACAAGTACAGCAACTTTCATTTCATGGAACGAGCCACTCGCTGTTTTCTTGGCTATCCAGCACTGTCTAGGATCAACATAGCTTAGATAATAGTCCAGTTTCTCACGTGGGTGGGCATTGTTAAGGATCAAACCCACACCCTCACTATATCAGTGTATTTACCCACGTGGGCGCGCGACACCCCAGTTAGTCGACTATTAGGACATGCTTGTGGGAGGCAGTGTATCTATTCTTGCCCCCCCCCCCCTTATAATGGGCCCCCGCAACTTACACCGGGACTATTATCTTTTCAAAATCATGGATAGAAACCAGACCGCCCCCTTTAGCTTGTTTCATCAACGTTCGTCTTAGGGTATCTCTTTGTACGTCCTCGTTTCCGCAGTCGATTTATTTCCTTGTTTAAAGTGTCTAGTGATTCTCCGTCCATTTTTTCCTCATAAGCCTAGTACAAACAACACGCAGATTCTATGGTCACACGCGGAATATTTTCACATTTCCGATTTATCCAAAACCAAAAACTGTTTTCAGTACTTTTCTTCAAAGTAAAATACTCAAAATTTAAAAAAAATAAATAAATGGTGGTCCAAAGGACGTTATGTTGAGAAGCTCGCTCTCCTACGATATACGCCTGGCCAAATCAGAAGGAGCTAAAACCAAGGAGGAAACATCAGAAATGGAAGGGCATGAAGAACACATTTGACAACAGGACAGGGAATGAGCGGTCTGTTATGGAGGAAAGAAGCATTAAGCCCAGAGACGGCGCAAATACCTGAACTTTAGCCACGAAAGTGACGCAAATAAACAAGACCACAAATGTAGCCGGAAACTGTTGGCAGCTTCAGTTAGCTAGCAGCAGGTTGAACGTGGTTGAGTTTTTGTGATTTTTTTTCTTAAAATGAATTGGAATCAACGTGTCTAGTAATTCTCGGTCCGTTTCTCCTCATGATATGCCCAGTACAAAAAACACGCAGAAACCTATTCCGAGGGACATGGGAGCTACAACACCAAGAAACGCACAATGAAATCAGATCATGAAAAGGAGCCACAATTATAACCAATAATATCTAGGAGAGGCTAGCTACTAGGTAGCAGTTTAACTTGGTCAATTCAGTTTGATGATGGTCATCTTATTTTCCATATAACTCTTCGCCTTCTTCTTTCGTTCGCCTGAAATCAGTTGTCTACATCATCAATTTTGTCTCGTATAGATGTCACTGTTAATTTTTAGATTCTTCAGTGGTCCAAAGAGTTTACGTTCCACTGTTGTTCTTTCTGGCCAAAAGGTTTGCCATTTAATGCGTCATATTCTGTGTAGTCCTGGAGTACATATTCTACTGTCTGGGGCAACTTTCCACAGGTGGACATGGCTGAAACGCCTATCTTAAATTTCGCATACATGTGGTTGCATAATCTGTTGTGGTCTTTCTGAGGCGAAGGATAATGATCTTTTTTGATCTGTCCATAATAAAGCAGTCGTCTTATGCCGGGCTTGGTGGTTTTCTGATATAACTGTTGATACCAGAGGCTATCCAGATATTGTTCTAACTGTTGATACCAGTGGCTATCCAGATATTGTTCTAACTGTTGATACCAGTGGCTATCCAGATATTGTTCTAATTTCTTCATTGTTCTGAAATTATTGTATGCCAGGTAAACAAAAAACACTCTTCTGATTTGTTTTCTGGCACGTAATGAGGGATGGCAGACAACTTTGTGGTGGTGTATTGAAATGTTAGGTGCTAGGATTTAGGCAAATTACTATGTAATCAGACCTTTATTCAGTTCATCACAGCACAAATGGTCTGTCTGGGGTCATACCTGGGCTAGTCAAATGTTTCCCCTAGATGTTTTAGACATATTTTGTCACCGTCGATTGGGCTTTGAGTCATCTAAGGAGGCCGCTGGATGTGAGTTATCGAAGGAGATGATTTGATAAGAGTCTCTTTGTTGACAAATATGCGTTGTGTTATTCACAGACATGTCTACTTTGGGTGCACAGTCAGTGTTTGAAATCTACTAACCTATATCCTCAGATCTCAGTGAAACTGTCTACTGACCTGCACTATCTTCTCTCGGAAACTGTCTACTGACCTACACTTTCTTCTCTCTGAAACTGTCTACTGACCTGCACTATCTTCTCTCTGAAACTGTCTACTGACCTGCACTATCTTCTCTCTGAAACTGTCTACTGACCTACACTATCTTCTCTCTGAAACTGTCTACTGACCTACACTATCTTCTCTCTGAAACTGTCTACTGACCTACACTATCTCCTCTCTGAAACTGTCCACTGACCTACACTATCTTCTCTCTGAAACTGTCTACTGACCTACACTATCTTCTCTCTGAAACTGTCTACTGACCTACACTATCTTCTCTCGAAATCTGTCTATTGACCTGCACTGTCTTCTCTCTGAAACTGTCTACTGACCTACACTATCTTCTCTCTGTAAAATGTCTACTAACGTATATCCTGTTTTCTCCCTGACAGAATGTGATGGTTCCAGGACAGGTGCTCGTGCCTTTCCGCGACAGAGAGAAGGGAATTCCCCAACCGGGGCTGACTCCCGCACAGAAGGTAAGCGACGTGTTTCAATGTGATTGTTCTTCTCATAGAACTTGCTTGCAGACTACCTTTCTCTGACTGTTTGTTGCCACATATCTGTCTTAAAACGATACCTGCGTCTGATTTTTCATTTCAGTATATATGTCTAAGACTGTATCCGTGTTTGACCATTTATTTCAACATATATGTCTTAAGACTGTATCTGCGTCTATTTATTTCAACATATCTGTCTTAAGACTGTATCTGTGTTTGACTATTTATTTCAACATATCTGTCTTAAGACTGTATCTGTGTTTGACTTTTTATTTCTACATATCTGTCTTAAGACTGTATCTGTGTTTGACTTTTTATTTCTACATATCTGTCTTAAGACTGTATCTGTGTTTGACTTTTTATTTCTACATATCTGTCTTAAGACTGTATCTGCGTCTGACTATTTATTTCTACATATCTGTCTTAAGACTGTATCTGCGTCTGACTATTTATTTCTACATATCTGTCTTAAGACTGTATCTGTGTCTATTTATTTCTACATATTTGTCTTAAGACTGTATCTGCGTCTGACTATTTATTTCTACATGTCTGTCTTAAGACTGTATCTGCGTCTGATTATTTATTTCTACATGTCTGTCTTAAGGCTGTATCTGCGTCTGACTATTTATTTCTACATGTCTGTCTTAAGGCTGTATCTGCGTCTGACTATTTATTTCTACATTTCTGTCTTAAGACTGTATCTGCGTCTGACTATTTATTTCTACATATCAGATGTCTTAAGACTGTATCTGCGTCTATTTATTTCTACATGTCTGTCTTAAGACTGTATCTGCGTCTATTTATTTCTACATGTCAGTCTTAAGACTGTATCTGCGTCTGACTATTTATTTCTACATATCTGTCTTAAGACTGTATCTGCGTCTATTTATTTCTACATGTCTGTCTTAAGACTATCTGCGTCTATTTATTTCTACATGTCTGTCTTAAGACTGTATCTGCGTCTGACTATTTATTTCTACATATCTGTCTTAAGACTGTATCTGCGTCTGACTATTTATTTCTACATATCTGTCTTAAGACTGTATCTGCGTCTATTTATTTCTACATGTCTGTCTTAAGACTGTATCTGCGTCTATTTATTTCTACATGTCTGTCTTAAGACTGTATCTGCGTCTGACTATTTATTTCTACATATCTGTCTTAAGACTGTATCTGCGTCTGACTATTTATTTCTACATGTCTGTCTTAAGACTGTATCTGCGTCTGACTATTTATTTCTACATATCTGTCTTAAGACTGTATCTGCGTCTATTTATTTCTACATGTCTGTCTTAAGACTGTATCTGCGTCTGACTATTTATTTCTACATATCTATATCTGCGTGTATAATCTGATGCCACTAATCAACAGGTAGATAAAAGCATCAGTATCTCTCATGTCGACTACCTTAGTATTAGTCTCTGTGGTATCGCTAAGTCAGAGGATGCGTCCATACGGGACAGTCTTCGCCCGATCGATTCTGCTGTGAGGTTTTAACTACCTCGCTGACTCTGCCTAAAATGGGCACCCGTGACAGACCGGCGACCGGTTTGATATTGACTCCACTCTCTGTGTTGATCTTTTCTCTGCTGTGTATCTCCGTATAGATCAGTCATTCCCAGTTAGATAAAACCAGCTGCTTCCCTCCTTATTTCTAACGTCTGCCACGGCCTTCACATTATTTAATAGCCATACCGTAGCACGTATACTAATTAATAAATATTAAAATTGCAAACAAGGATTAAATTTTTTAAGCTCAGAGATATTAATATATATATCAGGGACTTAAACTTGTTCTGAGGACCACAAAATGGCAATGTGGGAATGACTGATATAGAATATAGACCCTCACCGAATTCGCTCTGAGGACCACACAGGACAATGTGGGAATGACTGATATAGAATATAGACCTTCGCCGAATTCGCTCTGAGGACCACAAAGGACAATGTGGGAATGACTGATATAGAATATAGACCTTCGCCGAATTCGCTCTGAGGACCACAAAGGACAATGTGGGAATGACTGATATAGAATATAGACCTTCACCGAATTCGCTCTGAGGACCACAAAGGACAATGTGGGAATGACTGAAATAGAATATAGACCTTCACCGAATTCGCTCTGAGGACCACAAAGGACAATGTGGGAATGACTGATATAGAATGTAGACCTTCACCGAATTCGCTCTGAGGACCACAAAGGACAATGTGGGAATGACTGATATAGAATATAGACCTTCACCGAACTCGCAACCTTTTGTCCTATTCTTTGCCATTGCACGAAGCTCACCCTCTTGCCTTCCCATCTTTTTCACCTCAGTCTCTAATTGTATTATCGTTTGTGTGTGTGTGTTCACCCCTCCCCGCCTTTTTTGTATGGGTTTCCATGCAGGGTCATTCTGTGATCATCAGGTTTTCCCTAGTGCATGTTTCCATTAGGTTGTGAAGTCTGTAGGTTCCATTCGTTTTGTGCGTGCAGCCGTTCCAGGAATTCTGGGGGGATGGAGGTCGTTTCAGAAGCTAAGTGGTTCTTAATGTGTGCAGTGTTCTCACAAGCCTCAGCCTACACTGCGGTGAGGGTCAACCATATAGGGTACAACCTGATGAAGTCTATCGTGTGACCTTTAAACAGGCTACCCTTTAATATTAGCCATGGCGTTTTCCCATCGACTTAGAAACAGGATAATTACGATACTTATAACTGTGGGGCAACATACATACAGACTCAACGACTGTACATGCATTGAGATGATAAGAGATCCTGTTAGTTAGGTAGTTAGTTAGTTAGTTAGTTAGTTAGTTAGTTAGTTAGTTAGTTAGTTAGTTAGTTAGCTAGCCAGTCAGTCAGTCAGTCAGTCAGTTAGTTAGTTAGTTAGTTAGTTAGTTAGTTAGTTAGTTAGTTAGTTAGTTAGTTAGTTAGTTAGTTAGTTAGTTAGTTAGTTAGTTAGTTAGTTAGTTAAAGGTTTATCCGCACTACACATCAGACAAGTTCATTAACGCTCGGATCTCATCTTCAGTATATCCCTCAGGGTTTGACGACTGATAACACCAGTTCTGTGTTGGGTTAATATTGATTTACTATTCTTCTTTGGCTACCTGTAAAGTGTTCATGTTTGGCGACACCTCTTTTGACCTGTAGTTCTTGTAGTATTTTGAGTGTCTAAGATATCTGTATACAGTGGTACCTCGATATACGTACTTACACATTTCATGATCCTTGGACGTATACCAGACAGGACGTCTACCAAACAGTACTTGTACCAAACGAACCCCCCCCCCCCCTCCCCCCCACATGAAATAAAGGGAGAAGGATTAATCCGTTCCCATTAAGAAAAGAAATCCTGTTGTTAACTGGCATATTATTCAATGAGAGGTTTGCATAAAATAGTTTATGTACTGCCTAATACTGAAATGCAGAAATACAAAAGTAATTAGATAAAATAAATGAAAATGTAACCTGACTTCGCCTTGTTGAGACGAGTCTACTAGGATTGTGTTAAGGGACGAGGAGTAGATATTGATTGTTGTAAAGGAGAGTTCCCTTCCAGTAAAATGTCAGGAATCTGAAATTTTGTTGTCTTCCTCCCTTCTTGTGTTTTTTTTTTTTTTTTTCTCTCCTGTCCTTTCGCTGCTTTGATCTGCTTGAGTCTCATCAGGTTTGACTGTTACTAACAAATCTGTCAAAAGAACTTTGCTTTTGCCTTCTCCTCCAGGTGTTTCCGAAATGTGACAGTGTCTGGTCAGTCCTGGCAGTACTGTTACGGCTTGCTTGTGCTTTGTTGTGGTGATACTTTGCAGATTCATTGAATTCTATTTGTGGCTTTGTCTCTAGAGAGGCAAACGAAGATAGCGTGCCGTGATTTACTAATTTTGACTCATACAAGCGCGTATTCCAGACTAAGGTCGTATACCAAGCAAACATTTTTGCGACAGAAAAGGACGTATACAGTTAGCCGTATAGCAAAGCGAACGCAAACAAGGGGAGCACCACTGTATGTACATTTCATGTTCGAGAATAGAAAACCTCTTTATCTTCTTATCCGTTCAATCGAAGATGTAAACGAAGATTAAAGAAATGTAGTATTTTTCTCCCCACATATTTTCCAAGTTCAAACGTTTAGTCTGCATTCATTCGTGCTATTGTGTTAACAGACTTTCTGTTTGTGTTAATCTTTGCGGTGTGCTCTGGCGCTTCAGTTGACTTTGATCTGTTTCGAAATTAAATTCTACCCGCGGGCTTCCTTTTAAGCTTGAATGCGATATTTGGGTCTTTGATGTGAATATCCGTGTTATGTGGCCTTTAACAATGCATCAGGATATCACACTTGTCGTGTCTTACTGGGAATCATTTGAATCTTGTTGCTGCAAAGTTGTCTGGCAATATATTAGCACGTTATTTATTGGTTATAGTTCGCCAAAGGTTTACAGGATATGCGTTTATAGTTCCTTATGCGTTAAAAAAATATAATGGCTACGGTTTGTGATTGGTTATCAGATAATGGTTATAGTTCCTTATGCGTTTACGAGATAATGGTTATAGCTCCTTATGCGTCCACGAGATAATGGTTATAGTTCCTTATGCGTTTACGAGATAATGGTTATAGTTCCTTATGCGTTTACAAGATAATGGTTATAGTTCCTTATGCGTTTACGAGATAATGGTTATAGCTCCTTATGCGTTTACGAGATAATGGTTATAGTTCCTTATGCGTTTACGAGATAATGGTTAGAGTTCTTGATGCGTTTACGAGATAATGGTTAGAGTTCCTTATACGTTCAATAGATAATGGTTATAGTTCCTGATGCGTTTACGAGATAATGGTTATAGTTGCTTATGCGTTTACGAGATAATGGTTATAGTTCCTTATACGTTCACGAGATAATGGTTATAGTTCCTTATGCGTTCACGAGATAATGGTTATAGCTCCTTGCGCGTTAACGAGATAATGGTTATAGTTCATTATGCGTTCACGAGATAA